TTTGTCTGACTCTGAGATGTTACAGGACGGCAGCTGGGTCCTCTCTCTGGCTGCCCCATTCCCTGGGATCGTCTCTGCTGTTGTACCCTGGGCTCCGGCTGTCTGTGTGTTGTCGAGTCCTGAGTCACAAGCCGTATGCCTCCCTCGCTCTCCAATGCTACCGCAGATCTCCCCCAGCGTTCTTGAGTAGAGGCATCTCATGCCAGTCTCTCAGTTTAGATTTGCCTCCCACATCCCTCCCTCTTCTCTCCTGTGCATATGTCGGCTGCCAGTGCCTGGGCCCCACCCCTGCATGGGCCCTATCCCTGCATGGGCCAGAGGCCCCCCGTAGTCCTCAGGGCTTCTGCCTTTCATCTCACCTCTGTCCTGTCACTTCTGCTGCAGTGGCCTCCTGCCTTGCCACCTCTGCGCGTTCTCTGAATTGCTTTGTTGTTTTGCCAGGGCATTTTTGACCATGCGCCCTGCCAGTGTCCTGCTGTGTCCAGTGTCGGGGTGGGGCCTTCATAGTTCAGCTGCTAGCCTAAGGACATGTGATGTTCCCTGGAACCTCCATGACGACCAGAGCAGACTCCACGGCAGGGGTTGGTCTCTCAGGACCCGTAGACCTAAGGGGAAGTGCTGACGGAGATGAGAGAGGACGCTGTCACACCTGTTCTGCGTGTGGTAGGCACAGGTCTCCACTCTCTAGACCCCACCTCTGGTCTGTATCTGCTGTGGCCTGTGGTTGATGTCCTCCCTGGATCTGGCTAGACCTCTGTCTGCCACAACCTTATTTCTGAGCAGTTTCACACTCTTGGTTTTGTTTTGTTTTCTTTTCTTTTAGTTTATTTATTTATTTTATGTGGGTTTTTTTTTCTTTTTTTCTTCATGTATGCTTGTGCACCACGAACCTGCCTGGTTCCCAGAAAAGGTCAGATCCCCTGTAACTGGAGTTACAGACAGTTTGCAGTTTTAAAACACCATGTGAATGCTGAGAATCGAACTGGGTCCTCTTAATCACTGAGCCATCTTTCCAGCCTTTGTTCTTGGATTTTCAGGGGATCCTATTCACCCTCTGTCAATCATTTGGCCTCAACCCTTCTGTCCTCCCTTGCTCATGTCTCTGTTATTTATGTTGTTTATGTTGGGTGGGTGAGAACTCACCAGACAGACAAACGCTTCCAGGCAGAGGCGAGAGCTCCCCAGACAGACGGAAGCTTCCAGGCAGATGGAAGCGGACGTTCTAAGATCCACAGAGGAGAATTGTGGTCAGACTTCTATTTTTGTTTGCTCTTTCTCTCTCATGTGCTACACAGTGCAGTAAGCAGTAGGCTCTGCCTCTCTTGTGACAGTTCTGACCTCTTTCTCTAGGGACTTTTCTGTTTTCTCTGTGCTAAGTACTTACTCTCTGCGGCTCCGCTGTGATTTGATTTCTAATTGTTGGGCTGTGTGATCTTTGGTAAGATGGTGGTACTTGAACCTAGAGGGCAAGTGTGGGGTATGCACCATGTCATTCACTGCCTGACACAGGGCAGGTGCTAGGAATGTTTCTGAGTCCACGTTCCATCCATTTAACCCTGTAAGATGGGTGGCATATTCCTTGGGGAGCACTGTTTAGTTACTTGCATGGATCTTTGCCTTAGATGAAGAGTTAGACCATGGAGGTAGTTGTTCTGGGTAACCATAGGCTCCTTCCAGGTCATGTGACCCCAACCCCTTCCAGGAACAACAAATTTGAAAGTCAACAGGCTGAGAGATGCAAGTGGTTCTCTGAGAGGGTCTCACTGTCATGGGAAGAACACAGTGCTAACCAGTTGGGACATTGTACCAAGGGGTGCAGTCAGGGTTCAGAGTGATGTGCACCCCAGTCCTAATGTGGAGCAGGCAGCATGTTATAATGGCTTGGAGGACTGCTTCCCGCCGCCTGGCCGCCTGGCTAGCTTATACCCTGAAATAACAACACACAAATTGTATTCATTTAAACACTGCCTGGCCCATTATATCTAGCCTCTTTTTGGCTAACTCTTACATCTTGCTTTAACCCATATCTAGTAATCTGTATCGCCATTTGACTGTGGCTTACCGGGATGAGTCTAACCAGTGTCCGTCTCGGAGAGAAGAGCCATGGCGTCTGCCTGACTCTGCTTTCTTTCTCCCAGCATTCTGTTTGGTCTACTCCGCCTATCTAAGCTGCTGTCCTTTCAAAAAGCCAAGGCAGTTTCTTTATTTGACCAATGAAAGTAACACATAGACAGAAGGCCCTCCTACTCCAGCAGCGCTGGCAACAAAGCGTTCCCCTCATGCAGACATCTTGGCGATTCTCCATGTTCTTACTCTGGCAAAGGCTTGTAAAGGCTATAATTTAACTAATACTTTTTGAATTCATATTGAAGTTGAATTGATTTGAATGCCTTGTTAAAGACATGCAGAATGGTCCCTTTGTTTTTGATAGGCGTGGGAAAACTAACAAGCAAGGCATTTCTATACATTCCTGCAGGGGCAGCCAGGCTACAAGGAGAGCAGGGCATTTCTATACGTTCCTGCAGGGGCAGCCAGGCTGCAAGGAGAGCAAGGCATTTCTGTACATTCCTGCAGGGGCAGCCTGGCTGCAGTCTCCGGAGAGCAAGGCATTTCTATACGTTCCTGCAGAGGCAGCCTGGCTGCAGGGAGAGCAAGGCATTTCTATATGTTCCTGCAGGGGCAGCCAGGCTACACAGGTATTTGGAAAACTGCAAGCACTCTCCACATAGATCCTTAAACATTCATTTTTCCAATTACAGTGCACTGCGCTCTCTTGCCCTTTGGGCTCCATGCCATGCTCCTTGGGTGTGTTTCACAGATTGTACAGTTACTTTGGGGGAACAGTCCAAGGTAAATGCTGTTATCCAAATAACCCCCCAAAAGAGCATGACCTATAAAACTATTTCACAAGCCCAAGCTCGAAACAGTTCTGCTGCCCATAGCTCCCAGAGGAAGTGCTTAGCTTTCCCACTGTAGGAAACAGCATGGCTGTCGGGCTAATTTGTATAATAGACCGTGACTAGAATAGACAAGGATGGAGTGAACACAGCTAACTGTAAACTAAATCAGCCGTGGTGTAGTTCAGCAGTGCCCAGCCTGCAGGGTGTGCAGTTCAGGCTAACACTGAAGGACCCCGTCCTGTGCGAACCCCAGAGTGCAGCCTCCTGGAGGGTGCCGCCGAATTTGGGTTCACTGGGTTTCTTTCTCTGTTTCTGTTACATCAGGGATTCCAGGAAGGACGCATGGGAGCTTCGGGATATTTGTGAGTGGGTGATTACCTATTTCTCGTTAACTTCTACTAGAGTTAGCATTGAAAATTACTCTAGGACACAACCAGCAAGGGCTTCATCACCCAGTGAAGGCACACTCTGTCTGGACTATGCGGTTCCCTCGTCTCTGCTCCAGAACTGTAGTACTAGGAGGCTGTCCACTGGGCCTGTGTCGTGCTAGTGATAGGAAAGCACATGCCAATTGACTTTTCCATGTTTTGATAACTGGATCAGCAGACCCATTTCCTTTGTGAACCTGTATGTGTTGTTTCATGCATTTAGAAACAAAAACAATTGAGACGAACAAAGCAAAAACCAAGGCATTTTGACAAAACCCAGGAAACTATGAACCCACAGCCACAGAGGTGATGGGTGCCGGGGGCCAAGTCCTAGATCAGGAAAGAAGACAGCCGTGGAAAAGCAAGTGAGGTTCGAACCAAAGCCTGGAGGTTTTACTTTCTAGTAGTGTGCCAGCTGACAGGTTCTGTGGACATGTAAGGCATTCCTCCGGGGAGAGCTGGCAGGGTTCTGGGAATGCCCACAGTGCCTTCGCAGTCACAGTCTCCTGCCGCTCCTCTCTCCTGCACGGGCCTCCTGAACAGGTTCTGCATGCTCTTAGAGGTGGTCAGGAGAGGATGTGCATCCAGGTAGGGTGAGCCTAGTGTCTCTACAGTGCACTGTGGGGCTGAACAGTGCAATCTAATGCAGTGTAGAGGGTGTGGAGTTGTACCTTGGGGGTCAGATTCTAACTGGGTGACTTGCCAGCTTTGGGACCTAGGGCCAGAAACCACTCCGAGCTTCCTCTCCCCTAGCCTCACAAGCCTGTGGGTAGTCAGAAGGGCTCAAAGGAGGAAGCCCTGCTGCTAGCGTTTCCTGGTGACCTCTGGTGCTCATGAAGGCCAGCATCTTTTCGGGAGTCATCCAGTGTTTTCTTCATGACACCCGTATCACGTGACTACTTCAGAGAGGGGAAACTGAGGGTCAGAGGCCCTGTGACCTCATGGCCCAAGCCACAAGGCTGAGCTTCACTGGAGCCCAGGGCTCCCACCTTCCCGGACTTCTAATCAGACGGGGTTCCAGGGCATCCTTCAGTCTCCTGACATCCTGACACCCTGCTCTGTGTGTCCCCCAACCCTGGTGCCTCACCAGAGATCTCTTCCAGCTGTGTCCGTCTAGCCCTCCACACCCTGGAGCGTTTTAGGCGCTTGTTTCAGCTGCTTTACAGACCACTGACAGAAAAAACCCAGAGTTTTTCATAATGTTTCTCTGGCATTTTCCCAGATTCCAAAGAAGTAAAAAGCAAAACAGACAACTAGAGCTTTAAACCCGAACAAGTAAAAGGAAAAACAACAGCAACAAAGCCCAGCAAAGGTCACTGTGACATTTGCCTGTTTCTAAATTGTGGTTCTCTTGAGGAGTCATTCTATGGGACAGGGGAGTGCTTCTTCTTCCTCTTCTCCTCCTCCTCTTCTTCCTTCTCCTTTTCTTTGTTTCTGTGTAGTCATCAGTTCCTTCAAATTAATGTCTATTGAATGAAAAAGGATCAACTCTGGATCCGATATTGAAACAAACAGTAATGGACAGGCAGCCGGCTGGTGTCCGTGAGCGACATGGGAATGCTCGTGCGTCCCCAGAACAGGGACCAGTGCAGCTCCTGGCAGAGTCAGGACAGCTTCCGAGCTGCTTGCTGAGGAGAGGGTGTGCTGACCGTGGCTGGCTCTTGCTTTCCAGTTCTTCCCCTACATCCTGCTGCTGTTTGCCATACTCCTGTACCTGCCCACGCTGTTCTGGCGCTTCGCGGCTGCCCCGCATCTCTGCTCCGACCTGAAGTTCATCATGGAAGAGCTCGACAAAGTCTACAACCGGGCCATCAAGGCTGCCAAGAGCGCACGGGACTTGGACCTGAGAGATGGACCTGGACCTCCAGGAGTGAATGAGAACGTGGGGCAAAGGTAACCGCTCCAGAAGGCTGCCCGTAGCCGTCCTAGGATGAGTTCCCTGCCCTTTCCCTTGCCGGGCTAGCCCAGAGTGCTGATTGCCAAGAGCGGGAAAGGGGGTAGGTAGGTGGGGTGTCTGCCACCAGCTGGCAAGGGACAACCCCTCCCCACTGTCCTCAGGTCAGTGTTCCTTTCCTTGGCCAGTCTCATCCTTTGGAAAGTTGTTCTCTCAGGGATATAGATCAAAGTCTCAAACGGAGCTTGCTTGCTTTGATGTCTATAATGGAAAAGCGCAGAGGATTCTGGGACAGTCAAACATATGGAAGGGGTGAGATAAGTGGCCCCAATAGGTGGAGACCCTCCTTGTTGCTTTCTTCCTCTGGCTCTGCCATTGCCAGTAATAGCAGTAGTAGCAACAGCTGTCTTGTGTCTAAGACTTCTTGCCGTATTCCCGTCATAGGGCTTCTGTTGCTGCGATAAGACACCATGACCAAAAGCAACTTGAAGGGGAAAGAGATTATTTTAGCTAACAATCCACCATTCCATTCCATTATTGAAAGAGTGAGGGCAAGAACTCAAGCAGGGCAGGAGCGGATGCACAGACTGTGGCGGGGAGCTGCTTACTGGCTTGTTCTCAATGGGTGGCTCATCCTGCTTCCTTCCAGCGCCCAGGACTGCCAGTCCAGGGCGGCACTGCCCACGGAGACCTGGACCCTCCCACATCACTCAACAGTCAAGTAAATGAAGCCCAAGCTATGGGTCTTTTCTCAGTTGAGGTCCCTCTTAGAAAAGTGTTGTAGCTTGTGTCAAGATGACAGAAAACTAGCCGTCACAGTTCCAGGCTCTGTCTTAGTGCGCATCGTGATTAATTAACTGCTTTGTTTGCCTCTTTCTTCCCTTTTGTTTCTAGATAATAGATAAACACTGTCATGCAGTCTCTTCTGGGAGAACCAGGGACCTGAACAATGCCATTTGGGTCTCCCGAGTTTCCCTAACCCTCCCTGGTAGAAGCATATGTGTTCTAGTTGGGCTTAAAATTTCTTTACTTTATTCTGTTTGCACAGTGAGAGACTGCAGTTTGAAAACAACAATAAGCCGGCTGTTATTCTGGATCGGATAAATTTATTTAATAGACATTGAGCCCTGGGTACCAGGCATTTCCCTAAAACTTATTAAGTATTACTCACATTTAATCAACCAAATTGTCTTTAAACTATTAAAAGGGGGCCTGGAGAGATGACTCAGCTGTTAAGGGCACTTACTCCTCTTCAGAGGGCCTGAGTTTGGTTCCCAGAATCCACAAATTGGCTTACAAATGCCTATAACTCCAGTTCCAGGCATCTCACACCTTCTTCTGGTTCCCGAGGGCACTACACACATGCAGGGAAAGTACTCATATAAACTCTTTAAATGTTTAGAATATTAAAATGGAAAAAAAAGGGTTTAAGCAATGTTTTATTCGTTAGTATTTGAGTGACGTTATAGTCAATGCGTTTGAAGTTTTCAGTGTGCCGGTGTTGAACGTGTCTGTGCCTTTGACATTTGATGAGACTGGCAAGCGTCTCAGTTACTGTTGTTTGCTTCGTTTTCCAGTCTGTGGGAGATATCTGAAAGTCACTTCAAGTACCCAATCGTGGAGCAGTACTTGAAGACGAAGAAGAACTCCAGTCATTTAATCATGAAGTACATTAGCTGCCGACTGGTGACATTGGCCGTCATCCTGCTGGCGTGTGTCTACTTGAGCTATTACTTCAGCCTCTCCTCACTTTCAGACGAGTTTCTGTGCAACATCAAGTCGGGCATCCTGAGCAACGACAGCACCATTCCCGATCGCCTTCAGTGCAAGCTCATCGCCGTGGGCATCTTCCAGCTGCTCAGCTTCATTAACCTCCTGGTGTACGTTCTGCTGGCCCCTGTGGTCATCTACACACTGTTCGTCCCATTCCGGCAGAAGACAGACGTCCTCAAGGTCTACGAGATCCTGCCCACTTTCGATGTTCTGCATTTCAAGTCTGAAGGCTACAACGACTTGAGCCTCTACAACCTCTTTCTGGAAGAGAACATAAGTGAGCTGAAGTCATACAAGTGTCTTAAGGTGCTGGAGAACATTAAAAGCAACGGGCAGGGCATCGATCCCATGCTGCTCCTGACCAACCTAGGCATGATCAAGATGGATGTCTTTGATGGAAAGACCCCCATGTCCACAGAGATCAAGGGAGAGGACCAGGGGAGCCGAACGACGGAGTTCAAAGGTAGGGTTGGCTCTCTGGACAGTCACACCTTTGCGTCAGTCGGGGCTACCTTCACCTGCCTGTCACTTGAACCATCGCCCCAGTGCTGTCCTGGGGGAGAGCATGGGAACAGATTGCTGTTACCCCGAGTTTCCAAACAAGGATCAATCTGTGCTTCTTCCTCGGTCTCCTCTCTGCCCGCCCTCTGGTTCTTCTGTCTGTGCCGTGTTCTCTGTCTCCTGCCCCGCCTCTGTTTCTGGCATCCTTCTTGTCTCTGCCTTGTCTTCCTGTCTGTACCTCTCATCTCTTTGTTCTTCTCTGCCTTTCCTTCTTTTTAGTATCGATGATTCGTTCTTTGGCCAGTTCTTGCATGTTTACAGTACGTCTTGATATCCTATCCAGCTTCCCCACAATCTGTCCCCTGATATAGCCCTTCCCACCTTCCTATCCTTTCCTCTTCTCTTTTCCTTTCTTCTGTGACCCTGTGAGTCCAGTGAGTGCTGCCTGCAAGGATGTTGATTGCTCGTGTTGGCTGTCTTGTGCAGGTGACCACCGCTGCAGTGAGCTGGGTGCCAACCCACCTCGCGTTCAGGAGCCAGCGTTTTGTCCCCCCGCCCCCCCCCATAGGCATTCCCTGAGCTTTGGTTTAGAGGTTGGGGGTTGGAATAGATGTCTCATTTAGGGCTGAGTGCTCAGCAGCCACTTCACTTGCTCTCAGCACTTAAACCAGTCGTGGGTCTCTGCACTGACTGCTGCCCACCGCAGAAGGACGGGTGCTCCGGCCGAGGCCGCCCTGATCGGCCTCGATATGTAGAACTGTCGATATATAGAAGGGAGTTTGATAACTTGTTCATTTGACCTTTCTAGAATCTAGGACCTCCTGAGCTATGGGCTTTGTACTGTGTTTACTCTACAAATGTGAATTCCCTCCTCTGGAGCAGGCCTCATATAACCAAGAGAGTGGTTGGTTACTCCCAAAGCCACCATTTGATTTTCTTTCTCAAAAGAGGGAGTTTATTGACTTTCTTGCCGTGACCTGACTTCAGACTAGGAAGCAGACACGGTAAAACAATGTGTGTGAGAAGTCCTCACAGTGGAGTAAACAGCACCGTGCTCCCTGCTAGTCCTCCTTTCTAAATAGTGGTTTTAATTTTGACAGATTTGGACCTGAGCGGCGACACTACAGCCAGTAACGGAGAGAAGAACTCTCGACAGAGACTTCTGAATGCATCTTGCTGACGGTTTTGTTCTTGAGTTTCAAGTCCATGGTTTCTGCGGCCGAAGCCCCGCTGTTGGGCCTGTAGCTAGTTTGCAGTAAAGTGTCTTTGTTAGTGATGTGGCGTGTGTCTTACCGGTCCCCGATAGACACAATGGCCCAAGTGTCGTCTGTCACTGTGATAGACGCGTGCCATGGAAGAAAGGATTAGGACCGTCCCACAGGACGAAATGTGGCAATGAGTAATGGGCTCTGTCTGATGTCCTCATCAAAGGGCTGTAAGACCATAGAGCCTTCTAGAGCCCTCGAGGGCCTCAAAGAAACGCCATTCTGGACTGACATGTTGCAAGACCTGGAGCTTCCGGAGAGCAAGCACTTTGGGAGATGTCTTATTTTATGAGATAATAATAAGCATGGCAGGATATAATTTAATAATGCCCTCTGTGTGCTCTTACTGACCATTAAAGAAAGAAAGCATTCACTGGCCCTACCAGCAACCCTGGCCCGTGCATGGCAGCGCCCTAAATTGGGTGTGACCTGGTGTCGTGGCTCCGCACTGGCAGACTCCCGTCACTTGCCAGCCTCAGCTGATCGTTGTCCTGGAACCTCTGCTCGCTGCCCTTTGCCCTCTGCAAGCACAGCAGGCCAAGGCGGTGCCAACCGAACCCAGCTGAGGAGGCAGAGTTGTGTATCGGTCATGCTATGGTGACTCTCGGAAGGAAGGCTTCAGAGACAGCCCCGTGGGAAATCTGAAGTTAGACGTTATTGATAGACATCATCAAGAGATCTGAGACAGAAGAACAGCGTTTTACGGAAGCTCATTGACAGAACAGCACAGGAAGGGCCACTTTGCCCAATGTGAGCCGCGCACCGAGCTGACGCGTTTGGAGACAGGTTGTGTATATTGGAGCACAACTTTTAAAAATGCAGATTAATTTATATAATTGAGATCATTTGAGAAGAACATTCTAGCATTGATAAGAATTACAGAGTACATTACACACACGAGGTCAGGATGGGTGTAAGCACTGCTTTGTGAACAGGTTTATCCTTTGTGACATGGTCTCGCTCTGTAGCTCAGCCTGCTCTTGGAATTGCGAGTCTGCCTTGCTTGGCCTCCCAAGTGCCAGGGTCACAACTGTGTCACAGGGCCTGGCTTTATAAACAGGCTCTGACTTGGAATTCGGTAAAGTCCGTTCTCATTCTGACCATGTGAACACGTACGTTCTCGCTTTGTCTGAAAACTCTTTGGTCTGCAGATCTTCCCATTTTTAACACTTTGTCTAATGAGAGCCCTAAGGAATCTAAGGAATCACCCACTGTACCTCTGGCCAGTCTTAGGGGCAGTTGTTTACCTACCTAATTGCTTTTTGGTGACATCAGACGTTGCGTGAGTGGCTGCTGCCTTCGGGAATGCACAGAAAGCAGATTTGCTTATGCTTCCATGGCAGGTTCTGAGTTGGGAACTCAGATGTCAAGAGTGCGCTGGGTATTTGAATGGTGCTGTTCCACAATACTTCTTCCTGTTGATTATGTGTGGTGGCGCCATGGGAGCTAAGGGACTGATTTGTACGTGTTTATACTGCTTGTTGGACCCTACAGTGTGTATGTGTGGTGTGTGAGTTTTGTTCTTTTTTTTTTTTTTACTTTGAACTGACCTTTAAAGTGTTTTTTCTTAGGCAATGGATTTTTTTTTTCCAAAAAGCATCATCTTGTAGCATAGCATGTACTTTGAGGTAATAAAGAATGATATTTGAGAAGATCAGGAACTCTCCGAGCCCAGCCACATGTAGTCCTTTGGTCATAATGTGTGTTTGGGTCCTTGGTCTCTGTTTCAGTTAGCCCTCCCTTGCTGTATTGAGCTACAGTAGAACTCATGGCATCCCAGGCATCTGACTTGGTACTGACTGTGACATGCATGAACAGGCAATCCTGTATGGAGGGTGTCAGAACTTAGCAACACACACTGAAGACATGAGTAGGTATAAGAGATGATAGAATACCCACAAAAAAGACCCTTCTAGAAAGTAGAACTTTGTGGTATCTGGAAGAGCCATATTGTCCAGTCCCCTTGCCCATTCCCTGCCCTGAGTTCCATAGCTGGTGGTTTCCAGGAGGCAGGTGGCCATCTTCAGCCGTAAAGCCTCTAAGACTGAAGTTTGGGCAGAATGGCACCCGTGGTCTTGAGCAGTTGAGCTGCGGCTGGCTCCGCTACTTCCCTTTCAGGGCCTGGGGAGAAGCCCGTGGGGCATGTGCTGCTGCAGCTGCTGCTGAATTACAGCTTCAAGGAGCTGTTATATCGATGCCCAGCGGTGCACTTAGGCCTGGAGTTAGCCCCTCCTCCCGCTGACTTGCTGGCTTTGAACCCTTCTCTAGGCATGAGGGGGCTGCTTTTGTAAGCACTTGTCCCTTTATTACAGACATAGCAGTTCCTGATTGACCTCTGCGGGGCCACTGGCCTTGTTTTCAGTCTTAGTGGACTGCAGAGGTCTCCAAACCAGACTCACAGTACCATGGCAGCCTGAGCCGCACAGATCTTTCTGGAAGCAGTGTTCTGGCGCATTTGCTATTCTACTGAAGGGGCACATAGAACTCTCCAGTGTAGAGGTCCTTCAGCTCTGGGTGGGCTTGTTTAAAGTTACAACAGACCCAAATCTTGTAGCTCGTCCTACTGAGGGGAGTATGCTTTGCCCTTGAGAAAGCTGCTGCCTTCAGCCTGAGACTTGGCTGGATGTTGGCTTAACTGAGTCATGGTTGCGTACTTGTGAGAGAATGTCTTTTTGTTATTCCCCTTCACTTTCTAGAGTCAAAGTGAATCCGGGTGAGGTGGGCAGCTTCCGGCCTGGAGTGACCACCAGCATTAATCTTGCTTTTTCTGGAGTCACAAGGCGGGGAGGATGGGACACAGCCAACACACGACTTACATAACATCACCCTGCTTCAGAGTGGCGCTGTTAGGGACTGGAAACCCCGCCTTGTTTGGTGGGTCTGTAGTGTGTGTGTGTTTTAGCATGTATAAACACTTTTTGACGTGTCCATTCCCACCTAAGACCTAGCCCCTGTGGCTTTGTTCTGTGAAAGACAGATGCCTACACCTTTCAGGACACGCACGCTGCTTGGTTTACTCGAGCAGTACGAATCTACAAAGGCCTGGCGTTTTGACTCAGCTGTAAAACCAGCTCAGGCCAGCAGCCAGCTCACCAGGCCCTCTGTTGAACGAGCAAGCGAGGGAAGATAGGGATCCTACTTTGTTGACATCTAGGATCTGATTTAATAGGCGTGTGGTCCTCTGCGGAGAGTGGGAAGGCTCCTTCCGCTGACCAGTAGCAGCAGACAGACAGCCTTTCCCTGGAAACACCGGTGATTCTTAGCTTTTGATGTAGAATGAGTCATGATCACTCTCCGAGTTCATTTAGGTTCAAGGTTGTCTTGCAGTGACCAGGGAAGTGGGGGTTTTAAGATCCTGGTCTCAGCAGTACAGAATAAACCTCTTAAAGGATCTGTGAATTAAAAATGTGCCATTACCAATTAATGTTTTGTCTTCAGGCACTGAGATGAACGGCTCCTTTGGGGTGATCATTGGCGTTTTGGCCTTATGTCTCAAAGGAACCAAACCTCTTTTAAGGGATTGACAAATGCTATTGTGTCAAATGTGGAATATAATAGATGCTAATTTGTAGTTCATTTCCCTCCTGCATTCAATTAGACCCATTGTATTTCTGGATCTCTTTAGCTGTGGAGTGCATTGTCGCTGGAGCATGTAGTTTTTAATCAGTAATTGTTCGTAGGTTCCTGAAAGGTACAAAGTTTCTTCTATCTTAGGTACTTTTTCCTTGCTCAACACAGGCGGAAACAGTAGGATTCTGCAGTGTGACAGGCATTCCCTAGTAAAACAGACATAGTCAGCTCCACTTTGTAACAAGCTGGCCTTTCTCAAATGCTGTAACTGCAGTGTGATGCCGTTCACTACGGTGGTGTTCTGTGTATCAGTGAAATTTCCATTCTTTTTTTCTTTTTGTGGGTTTTGGGGGGTGGGGGAGGTTGTGATAGGGTTTCTTCGTGTGGCCAGCCTGCAGAACTTTTGGTGGTTGTTTTTGGTTTTTTTGTTTGTTGTTTGTTGTATAGCCCTGGCCGTCCTGGAACTCACTCTATAGACCAGGCTAGCCTCAAACTTAGAGATCTCCTTAGTTCTGCCTCCCTAGTGCTGGGATTAAATGTGTACCATTGTGCTTGGCTAAGTTTGTAATGATTACAATTTCTCTGAAGCCTTTCAAGAAAAAATATGTATGTTCTTTTTGCTGTGTCACTTGGTAAAAATGCCTAGCCAATGAAGAACAACTTCAGACATTAAGTTCATCTTCAGTTTTGTTCCACAAGGTCCAAAAACTGAGACCAAATGATGGCATCAGAAAACAGTCTTGTGAAGACCACGTGGGACGCTCGCCCTACTGCTGAAGGTGGTGCTTCCAGGGAGGCCCTTGGCCACACTACGCTGACGCTGAGTTCATCTAAAGGGGGTGCAGAGCTCACAGTCAAGGCTGCTGTGTCTACAGTCAATAACGAGTGGTGCTTTAGTTCTGTGCTCTGATGTTTCCCTAAATAAAACTTTTCTAAGTAACAGAGTTGTGACCTCACCTACCTTCTTTAGGAGTCGCTCCACTGAAGATGGAGCAAGAGGAGGGTCTTGAAACACCTTGGGGCTCCTCTCTTTCTGGTGCTGTGTGACATTCAGGAGTCTCCACAGTACTTGGTAAAATCCAGCTGGCGGTAACTGAAGGACGGCCACAGGCTGGCTGGGGTTTACAAGGTTTCTGGTGTCTGGTTGAGCTGTCTGGATGTGGGCAGGCGGACATGAGCGCCTGTTCACCTCTGCTCAGAACACTTCTGCGGTGGAAGTGAACACACTTCGCAGGTCTAGTAGACCACAGGCACGCACAGTCCTGGCAGAGTCCGTAGCTGTAGTAAGCACACTGTGAAAGCTTCCGGGTCCCCAGCTGTCCCCCAGGATCTGTATGCTGCATTCATTTTCTGTAGCCCCATAGTATAACTGCATACTTAACAGCTCAGAGCACCATTGCTGACCTTGCAGCCTCCTGTGCCGGGAGTGTGGACAGCCTATCCAGGTCCTCAGCTCAGGGTCCCAGGGTGCCATCCATGTCAGGATGGCAGGTGGTGGTCTCTGGAGATTGAGTTGGAGAAACTGCTGCCTGCAGGCTAGCCTGCTCTACCACCTGCTCATCTCTTTGGGTTTTGGCCCAGGCCTCTCCCTCCTACCTGAAATAGCCACATGCACCATTGCTTAATGGTTTTGCAGCCTTGGCTGTTTTCCTGTTATCTCCTTTCTATTCAACAGTCAGCTCTAAAATCTGCTGCCGAAAGTTCCCCCATTTCCACCTAGCCTCCTATGCTGACACCTGTCCCTCTCGCCATCCTGAGACACCCACGAGGCAGGCTGGTTCCTTGTCCCTGAACTCCCAGCACCTAGACCAATGCCCAACTACAGAGGTTGCTTACCCAAACATTGAATTCTGTGTTTCCGCTAGGCGCGAAGGGGAGCACGGGTCAGAAGTGAACTCTTCCCTGGGCCAGTTACTTAGCTCTACTACACATCTGATTTGCCCAATTTAAGACAGTCAGGTTCACACCCCTGTCTAACCCCTCACACACATTAGTGATTGAGAACCTGACCCCGAGCCTCTCTGAAACGTTCCCCACACCCTCCCCTTGACGTTAGTGTCTGCCGTCCACACAGGTGCTCACTGCCCCTGGCAGACTCCTTTTCTTAGGGTCCTCACATCTACATTATTATAAGAGAGTTCGTCTGAGTGTTCTAGTGTCTGCTGTTTCTGGGATTAAAAGTTCCCTGACGAAAAGCAACAGGGAAGAAGGGTTTATCTGGGCTTGCGGTTCCAGAGGGATGGAGTCCTTTGTGTTAGGCAAGTCTTGGCTACAGGCAGGGGAGATGTGACTGGAGAAGGAACCCAGCTGATTTCACCTGCAGATGGGAAGATGGAATCAGATGTGGGCTGAGGCTGTAAAACCTCAGAGCTACTTCCTCCAGCTAAGATCCCCTTCCCAAATGTTACATAACCTCCCTAAACAATACCACTGGCTAGGGACCAGGTGTTCAACTAAGAGACTAAGTTCTCTTCAAACCGTAGCAGGCTCATCATCACCAGTTGGAGGTGCCGATGCCGTTACAGTAAGGAACGGGGGCACCTGTTCTCAGTATGTATTCATTCATGAAAGAGGTTTATTCTGTGATAGCCCCTCCTGTCACCCAGGGATCTAACAGGAAAGGAAGGAGATGCTGGACTGGCGGCTGCTGACCTGCACCCACAGTCCTAGGCTCTTCCAGGTAACACTGAGTTACAGCAGCTAAAGTGTAGAATTGAGAAATAGTCTCCTTCTATTTCTTACACCTTCAAATAACTCCCGTGTTCTGGCAGCCCCTTCATGAAAGCAAACCAGGAAGAGCGCGGTGTTCTTGGTGTTCCAGCAGAGATGAGGCAGGCAGGCCCCTGGGGGAGGGAGGGATCAGCCTGGCAGTGAAGCATCCCTTTCAAGAGCCAGCTTCTAAAGTTGCCGTGTGTCTTTTCTCTCTCACACACACAAATAAAAAACAAGAGGAGCTAAAGTGTTGTCAAAATCACTTCCAAACCCCCAGAAATGAAATCCACATCACATCTAAGTAAAGATGGTCATATAGAACCCTAGTTTCAGGAACATAAAAGGAAATGTTCTGCCGGTAATTTCCAAGGTAAGAACACTTGGAGATCTTAGCATTCCTGTCATTTGTTCTGAGTCTGAGAAGTGCCTGTTACAAAGAAAACGTCGCTGAGTACACAGGCCCTTGAGGCTCTTCAGCATTGCTTCATACTTTGCAGATACCATCTCCTTGAGAGGAGAAGTTTCATTTCAGAAAAAAAAAATTGCAAGAGTAAGCAGGCGGTGTGTGTGTGTGTGTGTGTGTGTGTGTGTGTGTGTGTAGGCTACAAGGTATCATCAGGTTGGGAGAGCTTGGAATTTTCAAATTTCTTATCCACATAAAGAAATGAAATGGGCAGAATGAATGTTAGTCATTGTCCTAACCAACTGAGTAACCCGAAATACTAGTTCACATTTCAGTGTAAGAAATAGCAAGGGGGCTGGAGAGATGGCTCAGAGGTTAAGAGCACTGACTATTCTTCCAGAGGTCCTGAGTTCAATTCCCAGCAACCACATGGTGGCTCACAATGAAATCTGGAGCCCTCTTTTGGCCTGCAGGCATACATGCAGATAGAACACTGTATACAAAATAAATAAATAAATCTTTTTTTTTAAGAAAAAAAGAAATAGCAAGGTATTTTACATCTTTCATACCTAACTTTTTAAGTTCAACATAAGTGTTTGACCTGCAGTGCTTCTTGTTTGAGACTGACCTTATTGCAAATGCTCACAGCGCCGTGTGGCTGGTGGCCATTACACTGACAGAGCATGTCAAAATAGGTTGCGCTGCATTCCCCCCTAGTGATAGCACTACGTTTTTCTCCTTTCTGAAGGCACTGTTCCTGTACATGGATTTAATTAACAGTGGCATGTAACCTTGAGACCTGACAAGTTTCTGGGGATTTATGCACGCTTAAGGTGAGATGCACATTAATATCTCCTCCTTGATGCTTGTTAATCTACAGTGGGAGCTTATTAAGCTGTGGCGACCACTGCAGCCCCTTCTCTGTTTGCCCTGAGTGTTCACTGTTTGATTTGCGTGTGCTCTTCTTACTCCTCTGTCCTCAAGTAGGCAGAAGCGCTGTTAGATCTTGGTGCCTTCATCGCATTTGACCACTGAAGCATGGATAAGACAATAGTTATCCAGGACCTCTGCAGTGGGTTTGAAAGCCTTAGAAATGGGACTTCGCAGTGAAGTTTTGACCCCAGCCCCAAATACAGCAAAGCCAGGTGAGTTAGATACTCAGGAAGAGGGACAGACTCAGGAGTGGGAACTAGCTAAACAAGAAGGGTCCTGGCTTACTACGGAGTGGGGGATCAGACACTCCTGGCAAGAGGCAGACATGGGGCCTTGATCTGACATAGAACGTGGTCACGTACCATGGAGGGTTCTTGCTACAAGCAGATTTGGCAATGCTCATTAAAGAGCCTTAGGGGGAGGTTCAGCAGGCGGACTGGCCAAGAGAAGAACCCTCACTGGCCACTCCAGCCTCAGACTGGTCCCTTGCAGAGGACAAGCTGAAGGAAGAAAACTCAAAGCTTTTACCCACTGAGGGCAAGCCACGCTGCCAGCCATTCTTCAGTGGGAGCCTGGGCGGATGTGAGGCAGAGGCAATGAGCACATGAAGTAGAATAAGGTTTAAAAGGCCAATTAGTAGACACTGATTTATTGATTTATTTAGTGGTTTTACTCAAAGCGCTGTTTGTACTGCCTACTTGCCAAGCAGGATTTCACTTGCTACCTGAACCGAAAGACGTGGAGAATTGGCTGAAGCAAGCAGCCGGCCACCCCATCGTGTGGTTTGGGGGTGGAAAGTGAGACTACAAAGAGGACCCAGGATTGAAAGCTTTTGTAAAGCTTTTCTGCCTTCCATCCACCGAGGACATCTCTCTTCCACCCCCGCTGGTGTTGAATGCTTAGATTCCCACAACACACTACAGCAGAGTCCGTCTAGGGGGCGAGATGGCCGCCAGCCCCTGGCCAGGGGTAGATGAAACCTGCTCCTACCGTCCGTCTCCCGGCAGACTCCAGCACGATGGATTTAAAGAGAACACTCTGGGAGGGGGAGCTTGAGAGAGTGCAACTGGAGACTGTGCTGGAGATTTCTTTCCACACACAAATCACTGAGGTAGAGAGAAGCTCATGTGTCAGACACATGCATCGTATCTCAGAGTGATGTGGCCCTGTATGACCTCCGCGGTCCTTATCTGTAGGATGGAATAGTCTCCCAGGCTTCGGGTGTTCCTCAACTGTGAAGTTAATTGTGAACACACAGAAAGCTGCCAAAGCAGGGCAGCAGAGAGAGAGATGTCATTCTGCGGTGCCCCTAGCTTTTCTCAATGGCACCCTTTTACATAATGATATTGTCGTTTCAAAACAGGAAACGCCAACCCATTGATCCAGTCTGCACTGCAGACTTCCTCTGGACTTGCCTGGTTTGGGGCACATTTACATGCATGTGTATGCACATGTGTGCACCTGCATGTAAGTTCCAATGGAAATAAGAATCATTTGTCGCTGCCAAAGGACTCTTCCCACCACCCCCTGCATAGTCATGTCCACCCTGCCCCAGGTGACCACCGTCCCCAGCTGTCACTCTCATCTGGAGGATGCTGGAGTACTGGACTCAAAGTCTGCAGCCCTTCGAGACGGACTGCTTTCAGCCAGTGTAACGGTGCCCTGAGGCCCATCCACGCGTGCACTCATGGGTTGCTTCTTTTGTTGCTACACAGGCTTCTTGTGAGCATCCCACAGAGGACACAGAGATTCATGGGCACAGTGCTCAGGGTATAGCAGCTCCCCTTTCCTGGCAGCAGCTTTGAGCAGTTCCTGAATATGAAGACCAGCTTGAGAGGCGGTGTTCAGAGCCTGCGAATCCCTGCTCCCTTCCGTTTTCCTTTCCTTGTAAA